GTATATTTTCGTGTTTCAATATTCATTCCATTTTTAGATTTTTTTTATTACCCAAATTCAAAGCCATTTGTTAGATCATAAACAAATTTTGTCAAGTTTTCAMTGTCTCTTGCCATCAAAAATAAATAATTTAGAATTCAAAAAACAATTTGAAACTGACATTGTACATTTAGTACGTCGTGTCGTCGTTATGAAAAAATCGTTAACTGCAGTGAAGAACAAAGTATCGGAGAACTTAGATTATGGTGGAATTATGTAAACCAAATGAATGACAATCTTAAAAATGCCCATTCAGCTTTACTTGTATGTGATGAAAAAATATTTCCAATTATACGAAAACTTTTAGTTATTCTTGTTACTCTACCAGTAACGACGGCCACACCMGAAAGGACTTTTTCGACTCTTCGTCGTCTCAAAACCTATCTACGAAATACAACCGGRGAATCTCGCTTAAAYGGATTAGCAWTGCTAAATATTCATCGGGATATTGAAATCTCAACAGACGCAGTACTAGATGAATTATCAAAATCATCGAGACGAATTAATATTAAGTTATAAATTAATAGGTTAGTGTTTTTAGATCATAAAATATACATTTAAAAACACTAACCTATTAAAGAATTCTGCGTACGCCACTGACSAATGGTTCTAAAAATGGTAATTGTGGGAGCGAAATGCGTCACCAACGACGGGTAATAAGTATTAAGTAAATACTGGGCTGGAAGACATCTATAAATAGTTATTACTTATTATGTATCAAATATTTCCGATGTTCAAACAWTTTTCTATTATTATTATTTTAATATGTTGTATTGAGGTGTGGAATGACTAATACTAGTATAAGGTCTATGGGAATTATAATTAATTAAAAAAAAAWTTTTAATACAGACAATTTTTTACAATTCACGGAGATCGGGGGCCCCCCAAAATTGGGGGCCAAGTGCAAGTGCTCCATCTGCACTTGCGTAAATCAGGGCCTGACTATAAATCATTGATATTAAACTAATGGTGCGGCATAACACAAAAATCTGAAAAATCTGTAAGCTAACATATAATAATAATAATAATAATAATAATAATAATATCTTATCAATTATCTGTACATATTATGTTTTCTCCTCTTACAAGAGTTGTACTTTCCTTGTCACACAGAAGATGTGTGCAAGTGGAGAACCATTGTTTCTCTCTCCATTATGTTGGCCTAAAGTTTAGGCCCTAAACAGTGTATTTAGAATGTATAAAGGAATGCCGTATCAATATGTTTAATATCAATGCTATAAATATATTTACATGTCTATGGGACAAAAGACTTGTCAGCTGATATTCGACAAACGATGCAATAATAATAATGTTTTGATTGATGATTATCATATAAAAATTAAAAATAGTAACTTCTTGTTTCTAGTACTTTCTACTAAAGAATCGTTAGTATAATATGTTAAGGATTGAACGGGTCAAAATAAACGACCTGTATATTTCATATAGAGGAAACAGGTGCGTCTTTACTCTTTAAACAATTGTTACCTATGGTTGAATTTATAAACATGATATTTTTAAATTAATTCAATAAGACTCCTTACTTGTTTTTAAAACATACTCAAAGAGTGAAAAAAAAATATTAAACATGAATTATTTATGAACACCTATGTAGAATAAAAATGGTTTACTAACTACTTAAAAAGAGTTATACAGGTAACTTGTACACAACGRTGGCGGTGTTTCCATTAAAGTCCACACATATTTTTGGCCTGGTCCAAAACTAAATCCGGGCCCGTACATTTTTCTAATATATTTTGCAGTACCTAATTTAGAAGTAATTATTTGCATGAGCGGCGGGTCACAGTACCATGGATCCTTCTAGACCCCCCTCCAAGTGGGGCCCTGGGTGTAAACGAAAATATTGATACGGCCACACAGCATGGAAGTGGTGACGGACCCAATGCATCAAACTTCGCAGGCCCCACATAAAATTCTGGAAGCTGCGGTAGTCGATGGTTGAATGGCGTCGTGAACTCACTAGTCTCACTATACAGATTTGGCAGCGGTTGTGGCTGATTGACATAGGTACCYACATTTCCGAGCTTACATCTGTGCAGATTTGTCTGCAACTGTAGCTGTTAAAACATATTCGCGGTCCTCTGTGCGCTGCACTTATTTTCCCTTAGATACTTAAACATAATAATATGCATATAGTATAATATCATGTATTACATCATATAGGTACATTTATATAATACAATATTGTACGATAATGTCATCAATGTCGATAATACATTATTATGATATAAGTATTATGATTTGTTTAAATTTAACTAACCGTATCTTGCATTCTTACTATGTGCTGCACTTCAAATCAAATGATGTTCCTGTCTCCAGGGTGTTCATATAAAAATGAGTATCGCGTTCGAAAGCTTTTTGATATTCAATTTCAATTGCAAGATTAATGCAACTGAAAGAGGTAAAATCTCATGATGGTCACGTAGGTACATTTCGTTGCTTAAGAGTTAAAATTGAACGCAATACAAGTTATGTTAATAACTGTGTATAATAAGTAATAACTGTAAGTGTAGTATTTTGTATAATTTGTTGCAATAATATTAAATTAATACTATTTTTTTGTTATTATATATTTTATTGTAGATTTTAATACTACTACTACATAATATGATTTATTTACATAGTCGTGTCTAGACCTTTGACGCAGTGGGTGCAACCTGGTGCATACCCAAGGGGCTAATGGGCCCTAGCCCCCTTTTTTGAATAATTTTTCTTAATAATTCATGGTGCCACTTGAAATTGCAGAGGGTGCAGGTGCATACCCTGCACCCCCCGTGGACACGCCTATGTTTATTTATGTTATAATAACTAAATCTATTAATGTTTGTATATCACTTTTGTTTCATATTCAATCATTTTATTGTTTATTAGCTATTTAATTTAGAACTCTTGTTTCTACCTCAAGCTTGCTTTTGGAAACAAATTGATATTATGTGAAATAATAATGAATCTAAATCTATATTTGTCTATACCTATCTATAAGTTAGGTGTTTGTTAGATGACATCGAAATAACGAATGGTAATGGATTAGAAAAATTTATCTTAAGGCTTAACTATAAAAGTTCGTTGTTGTCTTTACTTATTTAAGCTAGAATATAATAATGATTTAATAAAAAAAATCATAAAAATTAGGAAATATTATTGGAATTTTAATGCATACTAGGTAACTATATAATATTTAATATCAAAAAATTAAGAGTGGTGCAAATGAACTACATTTTAAATCTGCGTATTATATATGTATAATATTACTATAAATCCACCGAGTGTTTCATCAAGAATGCTAACCCACTTTTTTCTTTGATAAAATGATAAAGATAATAATGCAGTTAATTAAAATGGGCTTCTTGGAATCATTGAACTATATTTTTCAATTCTTAAAATTTTAACAAATATGTGGTAATAATTTTATAAATATGTAATGACTTTAATAACTAATAAATCAGTATTAATTGGAGAAATAATAAACGATGAAGATTTAATAGGTAGTAATCTGAATAT